AAACAAAATCATTTCATAAAATAAATCAAATAAAATAATCAAATAGAACAAGATATTAAGATATTAAATAAAAAAGTAATAAGATAAAGTATCCAAAACTGAGTCAATTTAATAATAATGAAATAAACAATAATAATAAAATTTAAATAAATAAAATATAAATAATAATAAATAATAATAATAATAAATAATAATATAAAATAAAATAATATAATATAATAATATATTATTATATATATTATATATATTATATAAATGAAATAAATAATATATATATATTTAAATAAAATATAATTAAATTTATAAAATATTTATAAAATATAATTATAAATAATAATAAAAATAATATATAAAATTAAATTATAAATTATTAATATATAAAAATAATGTTATTATAAAAACTTAGAAAGTAAATATAAGAAATAAATAAAGAAAAAGTAACAAAAAGTAACAGAAATTGCACTTTGAAAAAACTCTGAAAATTATCTGGGAAGTATTGCATACATACTAATTTCTGTAGCAGTATTGCAAGTTAAGTAAGAAGGACCAACTTCACGTTTGGGGGTGGTGTATCTTAATGTGCATCCTTAGCCCTGTTGTGGCAAGATGCCTCATATCTTTTCCTCTGCTGACACTCACACCGCAATGCCTGCAAACTGCCAAAGTGGCCCTCTCATTATGGACTTCGTAATGATCCCATAGGAGCGATCTCGGCCTACCCCTACTAGGCACTTCAGATGTACTCATGCTCGTGTTTGGACTGTCGGTGTTTGTGGAAGGGAGTATAATCGTTGGTTGTTTCTGTAGCTCGCCCTCCATCAGCATGCAGTCCCCTTGATCACTAATTCCTGTGGTGGAAGCACATTCCATCTTGTCTTCCTCCCATTCCTCTGACACGTCCGCCTCCTCGCCCTCCTCTTCATAACAAGTAATATCAGAGGTACTTAGAACGACATCAGGATCTGAACGTAGAGTCTTTCAAACTGATGAAGAAGAAGGTTCTGCCATCTCACAGCTGGTTGAAGCATCTGTGGGTGTATCAATAACCATCTCGTTGGATGAATGTTCCCTTCTTGTCAATGTGTTCATCTTCAGTCCCCTGCCTTTCTTTGGTATTCGCGATAGCACTTGGCCCTTGCGACTAGAAAAGCCGGGAAGGAAGCGTTTCATCACACTGGTTGGCAAATGAGCAAAAGGACCGCACTGGTTGGAACTACACAAATGAGCGAGCACTGTATTATAGCACTTTCTGTTGGCAAAAGGAGCGCACTGGTTGGAACTACACAAATGAGCGAGCACTGTATTATAGCACTTTCTGTTGGCAAAAGGAGCGCACTGGTTGGAACTACACAAATGAGCGAGCAGTGTATGTAGCACTTTGTGTTGGCAAAAGGAGCGCACTGGTTGGAACTACACAAATGAGCAAGCACTGTATTATAGCACTTTGTGTTGGCAAAAGGAGCGCACTGGTTGGAACTACACAAATGATGAGCAAGCACTGTATTATAGCACTTTGTGTTGGCAAAAGGAGCGCACTGGTTGGAACTACACAAATGAGCGAGCACTGTATTATAGCACTTTGTGTTGGCAAAAGGAGCGCACTGGTTGGAACTACACAAATGAGCGAGCACTGTATTATAGCACTTTCTGTTGGCAAAAGGAGCGCACTGGTTGGAACTACACAAATGAGCGAGCAGTGTATGTAGCACTTTGTGTTGGCAAAAGGAGCGCACTGGTTGGAACTACACAAATGACAAACGCACACACAGCCACCGAAGACTCTTTTATTTTTTTAGAATATTTTTTGTATTTTTTTTAAGAATAAAAGACAGGTATTTTTAGAAAATATTCAGAAATGGAAAATTAACCAAAAACTGGCCCTGATGTGGACCAAACACAGCCACGAGACAGGGCAAATGAGAGCACACAGCAACAGAAGAGTCTTTTCTTTTTTAGAATATTTTGTTTTTTTTAAGAATAAAAGACAGGTATTTTTAGAAAATATTCCAAAATGGAAAATTAACCAAAAACTGGCCCTGATGTGGACCAAACACAGCCACGAGACAGGGCAAACAAGAGCACACACCAACAGAAGAGTCTTTTTTTTTTTAGAATATTTTGGGGTTTTTTTAAGAATAAAAGACAGGTATTTTTAAAAAATATTCAGAAATGGAAAATTAACCAAAAACTGGCCCTGATGTGGACCAAACACAGCCACGAGACAGGACAAATGAGAGCACACACCAACAGAAGAGTCTTTTCTTTTTTTAGAATATTTTTTGTTTTTTTTTAAAGAATAAAAGACAGGTATTTTTAGAAAATATTCAAAAATGGAAAATTAACCAAAAACTGGCCCTGATGTGGACCAAACACAGCCACGAGACAGGGCAAAGAAGAGCACACAGCAACAGAAGAGTCTTTTCTTTTTTTGAATATTTTTTGTATTTTTTTAAAGAATAAAAGACAGGTATTTTTTTAAAATATTCAAAAATGGAAAATTAACCAAAAACTGGCCCTGATGTGGACCAAACACAGCCACGAGAAAGGGCAAACGAGAGCACACACCAACAGAAGAGTCTTTTTTTTTTTAGAATATTTTTTGTATTTTTTTAAGAATAAAAGACAGGTATTTTTAAAAATATTCAGAAATGGAAAATTAACCAAAAACTGGCCCTGATGTGGACCAAACACAGCCACGAGACAGGGCAAACGAGAGCACACAGCAACAGAAGAGTCTTTTCTTTTTTTAGAATATTTTGGGTTTTTTTTAAGAATAAAAGACAGGTATTTTTAGAAAATATTCAAAAATGGAAAATTAACCAAAAACTGGCCCTGATATGAAGCAAACACAGCCACGAGACAGGGCAAATGAGAGCACACACCAACAGAAGAGTCTTTTTTTTTAGAATATTTTTTGTATTTTTTTAAGAATAAAAGACAGGTATTTTTAAAAAATATTCAAAAATGGAAAATTAACCAAAAACTGGCCCTGATGTGGACCAAACACAGCCACGAGACAGGGCAAACGAGAGCACACAGCAACAGAAGAGTCTTTTCTTTTTTTAGAATATTTTTTGTTTTTTTTTTTAAGAATAAAAGACAGGTATTTTTAAAAATATTCAAAAATGGAAAATTAACCAAAAACTGGCCCTGATATGAAGCAAACACAGCCACGAGACAGGGCAAACGAGAGCACACACCAATAGAAGAGTCTTTTCTTTTTTAAGAATATTTTTTGTTTTTTTTTTAAGAATAAAAGACAGGTATTTTTAAAAAATATTTAAAAATGGAAAATTAACAAACAAATTGACAAAAACCGAAGGAAGGAATGAAGGAATTAAGCAGCAAGGAATGAATCCAATCCAAGCTTAGTTGCAAGCCAACCCAATGCTAGCCTGAAGCCACCCTCCCGGACCTCCTCTCTTCTCCCTCGCCTCTGCAACAATGAGCTGTACGGCCGCGCGGAGCCGCTTTTAAAGGGCTTTCCGGCCAATCAGAAACAGCCACGGTGCACTGCTTGGGTGCTTGGGAGCGCCGGATTGGCTCCCAGGGCACCAGCAGCCTCCATCCCATTTACGAAACGGGCGGAAGCTCGTTAAAACTATGGGGGTTGCCGGTTCGTTATTTTTAAACCCTTCCCGGTTTGAAAATGTGTTTTGTAATCGTTTCGTTATTGCTAAAAATAACGAATATTTAACGAATTACAAAATTAACGAACGAAACCGCCCAGGCCTAGTGGAAATCATTTCTAGGGTAGGAGGTTGAAGTATGGAGAGCAGTTCATACTTTGGGTTGTTGTAGGTTTTTTCGGGCTATATGGCCATGTTCTAGAGGCATTCTCTCCTGACGTTTCGCCTGCATCTATGGCAAGCATCCTCAGAGGTAGTGAGGTCTGTTGGAAATAGGAAAATGGGTTTATATATCGGTGGAATGACCAGGGTGAGACAAAGGACCCTTGTCTTCTGGAGCTAGGTGTGAATGTTTTAATTGACCACCTTGATTAGCATTTGATGGCCTGGCAGTTTTTTGTTGTGGCTTGCTATTGCCTTGACTGCCAGGCCATCAAATTGTAGACTTGTCCACAGCTGCATGGTATATGGTAGACTCCTGCAGAGGTGAGGATCCCTCTTGTCCTTTGCTGTACGTTGGATTTTTTAGTGGATCTGTAGATAGTTTGTAGGTTGTGTTTCCTCATCAGCTTCCCTATACGGTCAGTGGTTCCCTTGATGTAATCCTTCAACATTACATTAAACCACTTGTTCACGTTTGGTCAGCCCACACATTGCCTTGCCAGAGAAAGAAAATATGCCATGCAGATGAACAATTAAGAACAAGTACTTTACTCTTTGTAGTTCAGAACAAGATATGTACAATGTGATCAGTTGTATCAACTCACATAATGTCTTTTTACGAGCGATTTAAAATGGTATTTCTTTGTCCATGTGAATAAACTCCTCCAGCAGCTAATTAAACAAGAGCACACTCGAGACTGTCTTTTTCTGCTTCTTTTTTGCTTCTCTCTGAAAAATGTAACAGTATCCAAAAGTCCCAGGCTTGGCCATCTCCCTGGGCATAGCCCGACTAATCAGCTTCATGCATCTTATTTTACAGTTGACACACACATATTAACTGATTCCTTGCATGCTGCAACACTTTGGAGGCTTTTAAACAGAGGCTGTATGGCCATCTGTCAGGGATGGTTTGATTATGCTTTTCATGCATGGCATGGGGTTGGACTGGACACAACTTTAACTGCCATGACTTGATGCTATGGAATCCTGGGATCTATAGTTTGGTTTGGCAGAGAAGGATAAAAATCCACAAGCAAGCAAAATGAAGGGGTGGCAGACAACCATAATTACCACCCTGTACAGAATACAATACAATACTTGCCTGGCAGGGAAGACACCATGATCACAATCAAGAATAGAAGGACAACCCATAAATAGCATTGAAAAGGTACAGCACTTCAATGACCTTGAATATTTTCTCAATTATAGAGTGGTGAAAAGTGGAAGGAAGGCCTGTGCCATGAATGTGAATGCCGGGACTCCGAAGTGCTTTGCTACACTCAGTCTTGCCCAACGTGTCCCCCAGGCAGCGTGGCTGTAGCCGTGCCAGGAGAATGCTGCCCTCGGTGCAAACCAGGTATTTTGCATGAACATTAAACCCTTTCAGATTGCTAAGATACATTTCTTAAAATCTCAGAAACACAATGCTTATAAACTTAACTTATAACTGGTATTTTCTGTTTGGAAATCATTGGAAAACAATGTTTAATATTCATTTTAAAATTGACTTTTAAAAATGGGTAGATAAAAGAAACAAGAGCAAAGAGTCTTCCACCCCCTTACAGACTTGCAATTTGGTCGATCTCCCTGGGATTGCATTTCCAAGAACTGGCTTTTATTATCACATTGTGAGTTTCTGCATTGCCTTCTAATAGCTGTCAGGAGAGCTGAATGCAACTTTTGCAGGCCTAACAAGGTGGTGGAAGAGCTCCATGTAGACCATCCAGTGGTGGCTCTGATGTTAATGCATTAGTTTTCAACCTGTGGGTCACCAGATGTTCAACTCACAGAAATCCTAACAGCTGGTAAATTGACTGGGATTTCTGGGTGTTGTAGGCCAAAGCACCTGGGGACCCACAGGTTGAGAACTACTGTGTTAATTGAGTGGTGGATAGGTGTTTATTTGAAGTTTATAAAGAATTTATCCAAAATGCTGAACCTATTTTGGAAAGGGGAGTCAGCATGTTGGAGAGCTGCTTTGCTGAATCTAGGGCCAGGCTTTAGCACAGCTGGTAAATCACCAGCAATGATAAGATTTACCAACCGAAAGGTTGCCAGTTTGAAGCCCTGGGTTGGCATGAGCTCCCAACTGTCAGCTCAGCTTACTGTTGACCTAAGCATTTCGAAAACATCTTGGGCTATAAGTAGAGAAATTAGGTACCGCTAAAACAAGTGGGGGAGGTATTTTACGACACTATAAAAATGTCAGGTGACCAAAAGGAAGGAGGAAGTCCTGGTGGCTTTTCGTCAAGAGGACGGAGCGACAGCACCTCCCGTGACTAAATTCGAGCACAATCTCTACGGTGCCAAAAAGCTGGACATCGACACAACATACCTCCTTTCTGTTCTGTTTGTTTCTGTTCTGTCAATCCAAAACTACACTGAATGTTTGCCGTGTATGTGTACCGTAATCCATCCTGAGTACCCTTGGAAAGGCAGAGCGGAATATAAATAAAGTGTTATTATTGTTGTTATAGGGGGAATTCTCTACTCTGCTTAGCTGTCACTGAATCAGCTTTCATTTGTAATGGGAGAGATGATGTAGATATCTCATTTCAGAGGGAAGTGATTTCCAGGTCAGAAAAAGGGAGGAGAATCAAAGGGTCTCTTATGTTGACTAGTTGCATTTATGTACACTGTTGTATTCTATTTCCTGCACTGTATAATTTATTCTCAATCAGTATGGTATAATATTTTGAATATTGGTCCAGGCTGAGAGTTCAAATTTCTACTCAGCTGTGGGAAACCACTAAAGGATTATTCTCTAAGCTAAAGAAGAATCGTGCCAAGAAAACCCTATGAGTCTTTTGCCATAAATTGGAGTTGACTCAAAAGCATATATTAGCAACAAATATGTTTCTTGAAAGCAGTTTTCACTCAATGTGTGCCCTTTTGTGCCCAACTTCCCTTTATATATGCATTTTATATGCATTTTCCCCTAATATCTGCAATTTTTATATAAATTTTTGATAAGAGAATGCATTGCAAAATGTGGAGCACAAATAGCAAAGGAGAATTCAATGCCTTTCCCCATATTAGTTGAGGAACAATGAATTAGATTGTATTGTATTTCAATATTAACCAACACAAACAAGGGCACATGCACATTCACACAATTTCCTTAGAAATATTCTGAACATTCCTTCATTCACTTTTGGTGTCTCAGTTGTTAGACCTGTTTGCATTGGACCTGCTAATTCCAAAGATGGCACCAGATTTCCCCTGTCAGCTCTAGTTTTTGAGATACAGAACATATGGCATCTACCAGCCACTATCTGCTCACCATAGAAAATCATGAAAACCATATCCAACCAGAGCTGATGCAAGCTATCCAATGCAATTTTCTGAATCAAGTTGTCCACAGAATCCCAGAAACAGGCCTAAAAACCAAAAATTGTTGTTAATTTTTAAGCTGGCTTTAGCACAGCAGGTTAATCACCAGCTGCAGCTGCAGTAGATCTTGCCAACTGAAAGGTTCACAGTTTGAAGGCAGGTCAGGGTGAGCTCCTGACCTTCAGCCCAGCTCCCCACCCACCTAGCAGATTGAAAACAGCAATGTGAGTAGATGAATAGGAACCATATTAATTGCAGAGGCATTTTGGGCATAGTGTTTTAGGGGAAAGTTTACAGACAAAGAAAGCATGGAGATTTAGTGACAGCACCCCCCTATGGCTGGAACCAAGCACAGGCTCCAAAGATGCCGAAAGATGGGAAAGCACACACACACACACACACCTCTATCTGTTATCTGTCTTGTCATTGTATAATTGGCATTGAATTTTTGCTGCATATATGTTCTGTGATCTGCCCTGAGTCCCCTTCAGGGTGAGAAAGGCAGAATATAAGTTCTGTAAATAAATAAAAATAAATAAGCTGTGTTATAGAAGATCTAATACTTACCGAAAACCTGTCTGAAGAACCTCAAGAGAACAGACTTTGTAAACATAAGTTAATGCACAACATGATTGGCTTGACTTCTTATTATCATTGAAGGATGTGTATATATGCACATGCATTCTTTAACATCATTTGCTTCCATATGCTGAAACAGAACACTCTCTTTCCTATTACAGGTCAGTGCCAGGAAGATTGCTTGACCTGCTCCCAGTCTTTTGATCACTGTGACACCTGCCGTGATGCAATGAAAAAGCTGCAGAATGGGCGCTGTGTAGCCAGTTGTGGATCAGGATTTTATGAGGATGCCAATCTTTGCTTAGGTAACATCTGCTTCTAACCTCCTCCCCAATGCTGAAGTGCACCACTTGCCACTATGAAGACACCCAATGTTGTCTGATTTCAAAAGCTAAGGAGGACCAGACCTGCTTGATATTTTGTTGGGAGAGCACCAGGACCGTCTTGGTTAGACTAGGAAAGAATGCTGCTTGAAATCCCAGAAATCTGTTGCTAGTCAGAGTTGGCGATACTGGACTAGATATTCTGACCCAATATAACATAGCTCCCTGCATTCTGGATCTTGTTCAGAATGCAAGTGCTCACTACACTTGAGTCTTGTATCCAGGAAACTAAGAAATGAATGCCATACATACTTCCATTTATTTGAAAGGATATGGTCCTGACATAGATCCCCAAGGTAGTTTGCAGATTTCAAAACGGAGAGGATTAAAAGCCACAATCACTCACTCATTAATTTGTGTGTTTGTTGGCTTATGGCATTTGTATGCCACTTTTCTTCCAGAGTGGGAACTAAAGTGGCTTTGAAAACTAATGTAAAAATATTTATTTATTTATTTATTTATTTATTTATTTATTTATTTATTTACAGCTTTTGTATTCCGCCCTTCTCACCCTGCAGGGGACTCAGGGCAGATTACAGTGTACACATATATGGCAAACATTCAATGCCAATTTTGACATACAACATATACAGACATACACAGAGGCTATTTAACTTTTTCTGCCAGGGGAGCTGTCGCTTTCATCGTCCATCTGCGACACTGATGAAGTACTTCCGCATTCCCCGCATGCTTTTTTGCTGGAGTGCTTTGCTGGAGTCTTTTTTATGGCCTCATAAATTAGTTAATTTAGCCTCCCCACACTTTAAGGTGGTACCTAATTTTCCTACTTGACAGATGCAACTGTCTTTTGGGTTGCAAAGGTCGACAACAGGCTACACAATTGGTTGGAAACCCACTCCAACCCGGGCTGGAGTGGGTTTCCAACACGGGCTGGAGTGGGTTTATTTCCAATTAAAAAAAAGAAACGAATAAAAAACACATAAAACAGTATAAAACATGTTTTAAAGTTTCAAAGGAATAACAATAAAATATACCTATAAAAATATCTCATGGTCATATGTTAAAAGCTTGAGGGGCTTCAGCCCCCCCCCCCCCCAAATTCTCAGAGTGGTCCATGAGAAGGCCTTACTGGTACATTATTTAAACTGTTATGTTTATTCATATCATGATCTGATCACCATGCTCAATATATCCCATATGCATGGGGGTATTGGGATAACGATACAAAAGGTTTGCTAGGGTAGATCCTCAGCCCCTCCCCCCCCCCACCGAATCAAAATCCTGGCTACGGGCCTGCTGCCAGTGAAAGCTATTAAAAGGGCAACAACAAACACCAACACGAGTATTATGTGGTGTCCGGGCTGGATGGCTGTGTTCTAGCAACATTTTCTCAACCACTCAAAGCTCCAGTTATTCCGGCTGTTAAAGCCTTTGACAATACAAGAAACATATTGAAAGTGTTATGAAAGACAGAAGACATAGTTACGCCAGGTTGACAGAAACATCACATACACAGATCCTTGAAGAGTTGCACCATAACTTCCTGAATTCCCCAGTCAGCATGTTGGATGGGAGTTTAAATACAAAAACTTCCCATGCTTTGATGCTAAATTAATGTATTCACTTTTGGGTTACCAGCCTTGACTGGCTGAATCACTGCGCAAATCTATGATAACTAGTACAGCCTTTACTCAGATTTGCTCCTTTTGCTCTCTTTTTAAATTCCCAATGAACATCTGGAAGGTCACATCAAGGAAGTTAGGATTGGGTATAACCCACAATGGGAAGATTTTGTCGCAAAGTCTACCAGTTGCAGATTCACATTTGAGAAGATATTCTTTCACTCTGTGTTTGTTTTTCCCCTCTGTCTTTGACAGCTTGCAAGGAAACATGCTCAACTTGCCACAATGGGTTTGTGTGTGATTCATGCCAAGGTTCACTGCTTTTGAAGGAGGGACAGTGTGTGGCTTCCTGTGGGGAAGGGTACTTCCAAGACACCCTTCAATGTACAGGTAATTTCATTGTTACTGATATTTGAAGCAAACTCTACTTCTACATCAGTGGTTCTTAACCTTCCTAATGCCGTGACCCCTTAATACAGTTCCTCAGGAGACAACTATCATAGGTCAGTTGAAACGCAATGAAAACACACACATGCACATATACATATCTGTATATTAGAATCTTAGACACATTAAATTAAGCCCTACTTGTCCATATTTGGTGGCAGATAAAGGATATATTGTACAATTTTCAAATATTCAACCAACCTAGTGACTTCTGATTCTGGGAGAAAAGATAGAATATCTAGTATAATATATATACTAGTCATGAGAAAGAAAAATGCAGTGCATGTGCATGTGTATATTTCTGTATTATCCATAAGGAACTGTGCGTGTGTGTGTGTTTGTATTATGTGCACGCATGCTCATCCAGCTTTCACCATCTATCATTCATCCTCTTTGGCTCCAGTCATTTTCCAATCTTGTGCAAAAGTTATATTTGCCCTAATTGGCCACATTTCAACCATGGATTCAGCTTACCATTTGCAAGGGAGACATAAATTCTTTGGCTAGAATGCATCCTGCAAACGGAAGACATTGCTTGGGCTTGAAGAGACATAACTCATTCTCTTTCCATGATTGTGGTGTCCCTGGAATTTAGGATGTGTTTTGGCAAAGGAACTGATGTAAGGGGAGCTGAGCATACAGGCAGCGAGTCAGGGGATGGGTAGAGTATTGTGTTTTTTAAAATGAAGAAGAGAAATGGATAGCCCAAAGGCAAACCTGTGGCCCAATGCCATATTATATTCACCAATATGAAGAAGGGAAAGAATTCAAACACTAGTAGGCATTTTGCAATGGGGAGGCAAGAGAGTTTGGCTTTCACTTCCCCTTTTAAGATGTTCTTCTAGTAAAAGAGGTTCATGTTCATGCTCCAAGAGGAAGTAGCTTTCACCATGGAATTTTGCCTTGTTTGAAAAACTCACCATTCTTCGTTCCAAGCATTTGTTCTTTCTTTTTGGAACCACATGATCTAATTCTTGCATCCTTGAGAGATGAAAACTGGGATTCAAATTCTTTATAGAACCAGAGGAGAGCAACTAAAATATCAAGGATCTGGAGAACAAACCCTATGAGGAGCGGCTTCAAGAGTTGGGCATGCTTAGCCTGCAGAAGAGAAGGCTGAGAGGATGAGGGCCATGTATAAATATGTGAGGGGAAGTCATCAAGAGGAGAGAGCAAACTTGTCTTCTACTGCCCCGGAGGCTAGGATGTGGAACAATAGCTTCAAACAACAGGAAAGTAGATTTCACTTGAATGTGAGGAAGAACTTCCTGACTGTGAGAGCTGTTCATCAGTGGAACTCTCTGCCCTGGAGTGTGGTGGAGGTTCCTTCTTTGGTGGCTTTCAAACAGAGGCTGGATGTCCATCTGTCAGGGGTGCTTTGAATACAATTTTCCTGCGTCATGCCAGGGGGTTGGAGTGGATGGCCCGATCTCTTCCAACTCTATGATTCTTGTTTGAACTTGTATAATACATAGCTGTTGAGGAGACTATGGCTCTATCTATATAGACATATAGTCTATATGTCTATATAGACTATATTTAGTATGAAACTGCATTATATGGTCAATGTAGACTTGTATAATGCATTTAAACCGCTGAGCTGCTGAACTTGCTGACTGAAAGGTTGGCGGTTTGAATCTAGTGAGCGGGATGAGCTCCCGTTATTGGTCCAAGCTTCTGCCAACCTAGCAGTTCAAAAACATGCAAATTTGAGAAGATCAATAGGTGAGAAGGTAACAGCGCTCCATGCAGTCATGCTGGCCACATGACCTTGTAGGTGTCTACTGACAACGCCAGCTCTTTGGTTTTGAAATGGAGATAAGCACCAACTCCCATAATCAGACATGACTTGACTTAATGTCAGGGGAAACCTTTACTATATTGGGATTGATGAAAGACTTAAAATGTTTATGTTGTGTTTGTGATTGCTATTTATAGTTTTAATGGTTTTAATTTTTTGTTATATGTGGCTAATTTGGTATGTGATGTTTTAAACATGTTAGGCATTGAATTTTGCAATGGATTATGCTGTGAACTGCTTTGAGTCCCCCCAGGGGTGAGAAAAGTGGTATATAAATACAGTAATAAATAAATAAATCTTAAATATAGAAAGAATTAGGAACCACTTGTGCAGTAGCTTGAGTGTTGACCTTTGACTTTAGAGAATAGGGTTTAATCCAGGCATGGACAAACTTCAGTCTTCCAGGTGTTGTGGACAATTCCTAACAGCCTGCTCCAGACAAGTCACACTCTCTCAGTCTCAGAGATGGGCAAAAGGAAATCCCTCTGAAGAAATACTTCTTTGATACATTGGCCATTAGAGTTGCTACAAGTTGGAAATGACTTGAAGGCACGCAACCGCTAATATTGAAAGGATGGTCTTTTCCATGTGGCTGAGCAGCAGGCATGATGCTCAGTCTACATTTCTTGTGTTTCATATTCTCCTGCTCAGCAATCTTGGCATCTCCAAATTGGCGAGCCCTCCTCCCCTGCTCAATGGAATCCAAGATGGCTATTCATTTCACCTTATTACAGGTTTTGCAGCTCACTCATCTTGCATTTCATCCATATTTGCACTCATGCATGTCGACAGGCAAAAGTTGCTGGGAAATTTTCGTCTGCTTTTTCTTCTGGGAGTTCAAGCAATTTGCTTTAGTTCTGCTTGACTGCTTTTTTCCTGCAAAAAACCCAAAGCCCTCAGAGAAAGCGCTGAGTTTCGGAACTTGCTTGTAACTTGATTGTTATCCACTTCCCTCGTATTGTTTGGTTTAAGGCACAAACAACAAAGGGGACAGATCAAAGTAAAATTAGTTCTCAATCCTCCACCTTGTTATTATGTGAACAGAAAGTTATCATTTGCTGCATAATCACTTCTGGAAATGCTCTTATTGCAGCCCAGCGAGATGACAGTCATCTCTACACATCCTGTCAGACAGTAAGGATCATTTTACCTTGTATCATCAGAGCTTGGAAATATTTTTTCAAGACTATAATTTTCAGAATCCATCATAGCAGCTGGCTGGAGGTTTCTGGAAATTGTAGTTCCCAAAATAAAGGAAGAAAAAATTCTATATTCTGATCAGTATGGACTCAGAATTCCGGATTGACATTTTTCTCTCCACTTTACAGGATGTTACAGGTTGTCATGTTTATGTTTGGTTATGTATGCACCTTAGTAGTTTATTGTTGTGCTGATTTCACTTTACAGTTGGTCCTCTAAATTTGCAGGTTTAACGTATATAAGGTTGATTATTTGCAGATTTGGATAATATGTTTACTTCAAGAATCTCTAAGGCCCCTTTTACACTGCCATTTCAAATTTAGATTATGTGGTTTGAACTGGCTTATATGGCAGTGTAGACTCATATAATCTGGTTCAAAGCAGATAATGTGGATTATCTGCTTCAATTAGATGCATTTTATGGCAGTGTAGAAGGGGCCAAAGTCATCTTGTGTGACTATAAAATCAACTTTCTCCAGCTGTTGACCACAAAGCTGTGCAGAAGGACCAAGAGATTCCCATGGAAAATACTTTTCTGGACATTTGCAGAAAATGGGTTTGTGGTTGAATTTTGGCAGATATTGATAACAGAGCCGTGTTTGAGAATTTAGGAGTTCTAGAGAGGGGTGCCCACTTCATTTCATAAGAGCATTTGTTCTATGCCTTTCCCCCCAAAATTTCCAAATAGATAGGGGGCAGGGCATTAGTCAAAACAGACAAGCCAAACAGTGGCTTCGGCGTTCTGACAGGCTCTGACAGAAAAAGATAAGGGAATCTCAACTAAAGCGAAACCAATTTCTGAGTGCTCGGGATAGCTTAATGAGGGGATAAAAGTCTCAAGTATGTGAAATGTAGCCAGATGAAGCATTATTTGGAATCAAGTTAAGTTCTCGTTCTTGTTTCATGGAAGCCTAGCTTGGAAGATTCATGCTTAAGTATTTTTTGTTTCATGGTTTTGATTCTTGGATTTTATGATTGCATACTCATGCCTTGGATTAATGTTTCCTGGTTTTCTGGATTATATTAGAGAAGTGTGGACTTTGTTTTCATGGACTTTGCTCAACCTTTCCCTGGACTATTTTGTTCCTGCTTATCTTCTTACCTAATTGGATTTACCTATTTATTTAAAGTGCTTTTTTACTTTGCTGCTTTTTAATTATCTCCAATAAAAGGATTGTTTTGCTATTAAACGTGTGATGTTTAAAGTCAGAAGGCTTTTCCTGTCCTGGAGTGCAACAGGAGTACAGTAACTGCTTTGGGAAATGGTGATCGGACATTTTGACAACATGGCAGTTCAGTGGAGTTGATGGCTGAGGATCATTGCTTCAGTGCTGGTGGTCTTTGCTTCTTCCAGCATGCTGACATTTGTGCACCTGTCTTCCCAATGCTGTCTTCCCAATGCTGATGGAATCCTTCCTGAAGTTGAGTGTGACATCTGTAGACAGTCCACGTTTAGCAGGCATATAGAAGGGTTGGGAGGACAACAACTTTATAAACAAGCACCTTGTTATCCCTACAGATGTCCCGATTCTCAAACACTCTCTACTTCATTCGGAAAAATGCTGCACTTGCAGAGCTCAGGCAGTATTGTATTTCAGTCTCAATGTTGATTTTTATGGTGAGGTGGCTGCCAAGGTAGCGGAAATGGTCAACATTTTGTAATGTTACACCATTAATCTGTATTTCTGCCATTGCAGAGGGATTGGCTGGTGACTGCTGGAAGGGCACTTTGGTTTTCTCTGTGTTCAGTGAGAATGAGAAGTTCGGCCTGGTGTATTACACAATAATGTTCATCCCAATCCAGTTTGAAAGCAATGGGTTTTGAAACAATTATAAAATCTATGTCCTTGAGGAAGAACTGGTCCATCTCTCTCTCTCTCTCTCCCCCCCCCCCCCCCCCCCAGCCCCGGGTATGTCTTGCAGAAAGGATTTAGATTGGAAT